AGAAAATCTGTGGCGGGAGTTGAAAGTCCGTGTTGCTCGGCGACAGCCCCAAAACGTCACTGCTCTCGAGAAGATCTGCATGGAGGAATGGGCCAAAATACCAGCTACTGTGTGTGCAAACCTGGTAAAGGCCTATAGTAAACGTTTGACCTCTGTTATTGCCAACAAAGGTTATGTTACAAAGTATTAGATTATTCTGTTACTATATGTTACCTTATATATGTAATCAAAGTAGTTGAATTAGAATACTGCTGTAGATCATATTATACCCTTTAATATAGAGGGTGTGATCTGTATGTAGTTTAGTTCTCATTATACTTTTGAGTTAACAGAACATATTCACATATTAGTTCATTAGATAAATGTGCATCACTCTGTATCCTTGATCTGCTGGGAATGTGTTACACTGTTTTCTTGACATGCTCTATTGTTGAATCATAAAAAGAAGGTTGTAAGCAGGAGACTTGGTGTCTAAGACAGGGGAGATAGACCACATTCCATACCCCCACCTTTCAGAAGAGCAGAAAGACAGGGAGCCGAGGTCATAACTTAGGCGCCGTAAGAGAGAAAGAATGTAATGTTTAGGCTTTTACGACTAGGTGGGGGCCACCAGAGACTATAAGAAGCTGAATAACCCGTCACCATTTTGAGACTGCTGTGACCCTCTTCAGGCAGGTCTCCCCATCATGATGGTCCTTATGCTCTTAAGTGTTGAATTGTATGGAAATAAATGATTGTTGATTGAGCATAAATACACCGAGTATTGTCCTTCCTTCAGCCCAAAGATTCAAAGAATTGGGAAATTTCAACAAAAGTATTGAGTTGTATTTTTGTTATTGACCAAATACTTATTTTCCACCCTGATTTACGAATAAATTCTTTACAAATCCTACCATGTGGATTCATGGATTTTTTTTTCACATTCTGTCTCTCACAGTTGAAGTGTACCTTTGGTGCAAATTACTGACCTCTGTCATCATTTTAGGTGGGGGAACTTGCACAATCGGTGGCTGACTAAGTACTTTTTTGCCCCACTGTACTTCATCTAGCAGGCATCCAGATGGCATCCTAGTCAGATCCCTTATTTATCTGACTCCTTTAAATGCGGAGCAGCAGCTGCTCTACTCCGAGCTCCTCATCCTGTCTCTAAGGGACAGCCCAGCCATCCTTGGAAGTATGGATGGGAATTGATCAGAATTTATTGATTCTGATTCCATTATCAATATCAGCTGTTGTCACCATTGTTAAGTAGGATCTCAAAGACATTACATTTGTTCAAATTAATTACAGACTGTATGCTCAAAGGTTTGTGCTCGTCTGTTTGTAATCTGTTGAAGTTCAGGGTCTGGGGTTGCCATTCACTCAGCTTTAACATCAATTTAGGTTCTTGGCTAGCTTAGCATTAGCATGTTGTCTATGCAGATACTTGCAAAGAGCCAAAGTTGTGTTAAGAGCATAGTACAGTTGTTTCTGTCCTGGATATCATTTGCACTTTAACACCCGCTGATTGTAGAGCAAGTGCAAGTGGATAAGTGGAATCGATAGGCAAACACATTAACGGTTCCAAGGACTTGGACTACTGGGAACTGTTTCTCTACAAGAACTTGTTATTGATTCCCATCCTTAATTAGAATGAAACTCATTTTTCTGCCAAATCTATCTTTAAAAGTGAAAGCCCAAAGAGGAACCAACATTTAAAATGAAAGAGGTAGGAACTGAAAAAAAAGGAGAGAATAAACTCAGACAATAACACATAGACAAAGAGGACATAGAGTAAAGGAAGTTACATTCAACAACACAAAGGCTTATACAAACAAGCACTTCCATAGATTTATTCAGAGGTAAGAGAAATGAATCTAAGCTAAACTTCAGGAGGAAATAAAGAATATGGTACTTACACTGTGACACCTGACTTTAAAAGAATCATGAGAAGAAAACAGACAATATGGTAGGGATGGTGTCACACACATTAAATTACTAATGTGTGTTTTTTAAAGGGAGTTCCTGACTTGATGAGTGGGAAAAATGACATTTTCCATACCTATGATTTGTTGCCAAAAAGCCACGCCATTGTTTATATAATAATTCATATAAATTTAATAACTTGAAAAATGTTAACCTCTAAAAACTGTAAGTATGTCTGTAAACTTCAATTTGTAGATACATTTCATCAAAATGTTTGTGTTTTGATGTGTATTTTCCTGAATTTGTATGCAGCACACATCCCCACATAGCAAAATTTGTAAGGCCCGGATCTGGCCCACACATTGTGCTTACACGTGGCACACATACCACAAAGAATGACGGCCCTTTGGTGGCCCAGATCAGGTTACCAGAGGTGGCCCACACATGGGCCAGCACAGGGCCAGTTGCAGACACACTGCTGGCCCTGTGCTGGCCCAGAACAGTTTCACCTCTGGCCCCAGATATCAGCCTAATGTGTACCTTAATCAAGCCATGTAATAACAACATGTGCTGGAACATAATAGAACAAAAGTAACATGACGAAACTGTGTTCAGACAGTGAATGGACTGATTCTTAACTCAGTGCTTCCTAACTACATTCGTACACATTCACACTCTTGACATGCAGACTGGAGGAGCCAGGGATCGAATCACTAAGCTTCCGATCAGTAGATGACCTGCTCTACCTCCTGAACTACAGCCACCCAGTGGTAAACATGAGTAAACTGTCACTAGGTTTTGGATAAAGTGTACACTCATAAACCTGTCAAACCTGCATTTGAAACGTTGGCTACCATAGCAGTATAGTATTGCAACATGGCATTTGGGTCTTCTAACTAAAATAGGAAAATAGGAACATAAATAGTGCCATCATTGCCAGACCTGGCCCACATCTGGTTGACATACACCCTGCCATGACACCAGTCAGTCAGAAGTGCCAGCTTGATCCCAGATCCGGGCCAGACCTATTTTCTATGAGCCTGGGCCACATACACCAAATCACATCGGGCCAAATGTGGCATGCCATCACATAAACAGTGCCATCTATGCCAGGCCTGGCCCATATCTGGATGACATATCACTTACCATGCCGGAAGTCAGCCAGCAGTGCCGGCTTGACACCAGATCCGGGCCAGACCTGTCTGCTATTTGGGCCCTTGTATGTCATCTGACAGTTCTAGCTTATTAAACTGGCAGGTCATAGTGACAAATAATGGGGTTTTGAGATTTTCCATCCAAATCCATCAGTCTGCAACTTCTGCTGTCACCCTGTTCCCACATTTATACTCAAAACATGTCAAATCTGTCAGCAAAACACCAAACACATGCCTGACAAAAATTCACGCTCCTCAGTGTGATTGCAGTTATCCATCAGTACATCCTCTTCTGTAATTTCTTTTATCAAAGTTCACTGAAAACCGTTTTTTTCAGCAAGTTTGGCAAAAAAAAATTCAAATAAGTATCTTTTACTATCAAGTCTACTGCTTTGTCAGTAAAGCTGTTGCTTGAGGCTGTCTTTCCTCCTCTCTCAACTGGAGAACAAGAAGGTAAATCAAGCCTCAAGTGGATTAGTGAACATGACTCTCAGACATGTTCACAAGGCAGTGTTTGAAATATGTTGTCACAACACTATTCCCCCAGCAGTCTGGCAAACCTCGTAAATCCCCCCGTATATTGAGGGGGGTCCATAATTCACCGAGCACCTGGGAGAAAGACAAAACCCAGCGTTCATTTCCTCTATTCAAACGAGTTTGTTTTCATCAGTTCGTATTTTGTAAGAAGATCAGTATAGTGTGGGAAGTGGGCTCCCTTAGCAGCCCTTTCTACACCCATCACCTCATCCCATGTCTCTTTAAATCCTTTAGTTGAATATATTATGTGAGATGTTCTGTAGAGAGTTCCAAGTTGTAAATGATTGAGAGGGCCAGCTGCCCTCAGTCGGCTTTTGTTAGCTACAAAGCAAACTTTCTGGTGATGAGGACACCAGAACCTGCATCTGGCCTGCATCATTATGTGTAAAAGTTCTCTTGGTCTCTCTTCCCCCCTTTTTTTTTCTCCAGAGAAACGGTGAGGTATGAGGCGCTAACACTGCACAGGAATCATGTCAGGGTTTAGAGAAAAGGACAGGATATCATACTGATGTATCCTGGTGCCCAACAGCAGCAGACGGAGAGCATGACATCAGCTCTCCCACAAAACGTCCAGAGCTGCCAGTACACACTGACTCTAACCTGGTCAGAACCCAGTTCAGTCAGTCGCTCATCCAGCAGTCAACGTCAACCATCAATCAGTCCTTTTCAGCTCTGACTTACTCTGCTTCTGTCTGTGGTGATTTTTTGCTCTCTCCTTTCTCTCTGTTGCCCTGTGCTCTGATGAAAGACACTCTCAGAGAGGTAGCCAAGCCACTTGTCTTTGTTTTGACGTTTCAGTGGCTCTGCTGTGGATATGTTTAGAACTTCTTCACGTGATCAGTGTTAGTTCAAAGGCTTTAAAGCACCGTGTGGTTGTGTTTGTGGAGTTTGAAACTGGGGGGCCTTTTCTGGAGAATTAGTGAAGGGGTCTTTGATGCAGCTTGACTGCATTCAGTATGAGCCTGACCTTTAATGCATCACCTAGTTTGGTGGATCACAGCCAGGCTGAGGACCAGAAGTGAGCAGCAAACAAGTATCTGCTACCACTCTCCATCAGCTGTGCTCCAAGACTGTGTTGTGTTTGGATGTAACCCCACTCACTCACTGGTTTTGTGCTCTCTCCGTCTTGAGTGCTTCACCTCCCCCCTGCTTAATCTTGAAACCATCAGCTCCCCAGTCTGGTTCTCTTTAAATTGAATTTGAAATCTTCATTCTTTTTATAAGCTGGGTGAGTAAAACCCTGAAAGGCCTTGTGGATTTCAGCATCCGCTGTTCTGAGAGGATTCAGATTTATTCCCTGTTTTTTTTCAGTTGTTTCTAATCATGGACAGAAGCGTCCCTCAAACAACAGGAAGGGCTGGAACAAAAGCAAGAAGTAAAGGCGGGGGAAGGGAAATAGTTTATTGCCTTTACGTTTCCTCTTCTTTCCAGTGGCAAGAAAGGGAGGGATATCATCGTCTGTTTTGTCGCTCGTAGAAGTTTGAACCATACATTTTTGTTTCTGTTTTTTTTAATGCGTAATAGAATCAGCATGGAAGGAAAAGGAAGAGCATCCACAGATTATAATTAGAGCTGTAGTCTGTGTAAGTATGTACTCCTTCCTAAAGGCACTAGTACAGGACTTTGTGTGTTTTGTTTTTACGTGTGCATCTGCTTTCTGCCTGACTCTGGGTGTGTTGGGTGTATATGTATTCATGCACACATACAGCACTTGTGTCTTTTGCTGTGCATGCAACAACTCACACCTCCCACTACCACACTGACCTCTCCTGCTTCCTCTTTCCTTCTGCAGGTCTGTATGAGCTGCTGGCGGCCCTGCCATCCCAGCTGCAGCCTCATGTCAACTGCTCTGAGGACAACACCTTCCTTCAGGATATGTTTGGAGAGAGAAGTCTCCACTCACTTGTTAAGGTACAACAAACAAATAGAGTTATAGGAATTTCGCCTACATATTTTTCAGAAAATCACGTGTTGTTTAACTCATATATGCACGCACTGATAACTCTTAAATACACTTAAAACACTTAAGTAATTTCATTTAAGTGCTATACATATGAATACCTCAGTTTAACCAAGCCTAGCTTTAATTGCACATGTAGATTGTGTACAAAGTTTATTGTCAAGAAGGCAGACAACTAAATTAGTCACATAAAAAGTCTTGAAAAGAGGAGCCCCCGGCCTCCAAAGCAATTATTATTCATGAATTACAGTCCTATTGCACCATCTACCTGCCCAGATCTTCTAATTCCTTCCTCTACCAGCAGGAAGGGGCCTGTGGTTTGGTTACTGCCTGTTAAACTAGATAGCTGCAGAGATTGGGGAGAAGGTTTGTCTGAAATCTTTCTCTGATTTTTGTTGTTAAATAGAGAACAATTTTCCCCCCTAAACATGGGGTAGTTTCCTGCAAATCGGCTTTCCATTCTTTATTATTCAGTAAATAAATGTAATAGCTGCTCGACTGCTGTGTCTGACTGATTAACTGAGCCATCCTAGTGAGCCAAATGGACAGACGGGCAGACTTTAAAACGCACACAAGTACTAAACAACCATCTCGTCTTACTCAGAAACCAGATGCAGCATTCAGGCTAACATCATGGACACACCATTAATAAAACCTTAATTATCCTCTTCCTAAAGCTCGGCCACCAAATCTCCACAGTCCACCTTTATTTGGGATTTGTGTAAGGTTGTAGAGGGGATACGAAAGAATGGCTAAACAGCAGAGAGAAAACACACACATCAAGTTAATCTGACAGGCTTCCCAACCCAGGTCGCTCACTGGTTGTAATTGCCTCACCTGGGTAATTACAACCAGTTGTTGGTCACTCTGTCTGGAAGGAGAGAGACGGTCCAGAGGAGGAGGTGTCACAGATGGAGAGAGAAACAAGAAAGAAGTAGAGAATTCAGAGTAACATGAAGACTTAAACCAGACATATGCTCTTTCTGTCTCTCTCACCTGTACTCACCAGATGGTCGGGACGTCTCACATCCATCCTAATCCGATTATGTTACAGAGATGAAAGAATTATTGTCCGATATCATCTTTCAGCTTTTATTTACATCTGTTTGTTGCTAGAAAATATTCTCATGACACGAGCCAGGTGCTTATTTATATTTTAAAAGCCTCACTTGAATCCAAAATATATCCCCTTCCTTGCACTGTCTTACTTTGGATTTAGGCTGCCTTCCAAATATTTTCATTAAAGTTCAATGGTCGACTGCAGCCCAGATTTACCGGATCAAGCACGTTGTTCACAAACAAGTACCTCTGAAATGAGCCAAAAGTGGCTAGATGATGATAGATGAAGCCAAATGCAAGGTTATGATAGGGACAGGGGAAGGAAGAAGGAAACTCCATATTGCAGCAGACAGGTCACAGTATGCTGTTGACTACTGAAAAACTTTTTGAACCATGTCAAGCACACTGGAGGGACAATTAAAACAAGAAGAAAGCTACAGGTCAACCAGTCCCTATTCTATCATTTTGTATTGTCTGTATTGGTAATCAAGGAAAATCCCACAGCCATTACTCCAGTTTCATCCATCCCTCCATCCATTCTCTGCTGCTTTTCAGAGTTGCGGGGGACTGTGGAGCCTATCCCAGCTGTCTTAGGGCGAGAAGCAGGGTACACCGTGGACAGGTCGCCAGTCTGTCACAGGGTTTTGCTCCGGGTCACTTTGAAAAAGATGTTCAGCTTGTAAAGGATGTGATGTGAAGTTTTCTGGGCAGAGGTCTTAAGCCTGCTTAAATACTATGTTTTATGTCTTCGGATATTTTGAAAAGTCTCCAAAGTGTGCAACCCTGACCCTAAACATTACATTAGTTCATGTTAGCAAACTAGTGACAGATTATTTCAAACCAATAACTCAGTGGAAAGAAAAATAAAACTAGTTAGCCATAATGTTAGGGCTTATAGATGATGTTCACAAGATGCAGTTAGCACTGTTTTATATAGTGTTATAGAGTGATTTGACCCCCATTTATCTCAGGATTAATTCTGAGATAATTGGGGGTCTAAAAAAGTTTACAGCATGACAGGTTGCCGAAGCATCAACAGCAGTCCTAACCATCAGCATGTCACAGGGGAAAACATGTTTACCTCCACGACACGCCTAATGCACCGTGTTTTATTGCTGAGTAATAACGGCTTTATGCAGGATTTGAACTTCTAAGCTAGAGTCTGCATTCCCGCGGCTGTCCCGCGGAGCCGCGGGACCCGACCAGATTCTTGCGGCGCGGGAATAAATTTCCAAATAAAATGCGGTAGCGGTCGGTAACTCTGGTGTAATTTGAACGGGAGCGGCGGTCTGAAATATAGCGTGCCGACATTTTTTCGGAACAGCATATCTGTGATTTCCTCATTCTAATTGAGCACTGGTACAGCCAGTGCTCACGCCTGTTACACGCACTGAGCGCATGGATCAGTGCTTTTGCAGTAGGCCACAATGCTGTATTCGTTTTTATTTATTTTATTTTTGCAACACGTTTCCATGTTAAAGATAAATGTTGCATGTTGACAGATAAATGCATCTTGTTTAAGAAAATAAATACAATCATTGCACAACCTGCAGTTTTATCTGTTATCTCTATTTTTGGTGTACCCCATTTAAATGTGAGATTTTGGAAACCAGATCTAAATTAGCGGGAACGGTCGGGTCGGGTAGAAATTATTCTAAGCGGGCAGCGGGTGAACAAAGACTGAATATACAGCGGGAGCGGTCGGGTGCGGTACAAAACCTTGCGGGAGCGGCGGGAGCGGGACTAAAAAAACATTCCCGCGCAGACCTCTATTCTAAGCTGACCTTGAAACATGACTGTTATGCTGGCCAAGACAGAGTCCTAACAGGCTGTGATTTATCTCGGCAGACTGTGTGGATAAGTCCAGCTGAAATGGCTGTAGCTGTTTAAGGCCAAGATTTAAACTGGAATCTTGATGGGGAGAGACGATGTAAAGACATTTCACACGTCGTTGCGTCGCGTTTTCTTCACTGGAAAGTTATAAAAGTGATTTTGATGGGTGACATTTGGTGTTTGGGTAATGTTTTTGAATGACATCATGTTTTGGATTTTGGTGTTGGTCCCTGGTGATTATCGAAGCCAGATGACAGCTTGAAGAGACTCAAATCAACTCATCTACACATGCTGCTCATGTTATTGCTAATCAGAACTTCTACCAGGGCCAAAAACATTGAGGACAAATACTGTCCTGTGACTGTGTCAGAACATTCAACTGTCAGTGATTCTGACTTGCTTTCCTCCGTATTTACAGTACTGCTACCATCTAGCTTTAAAACATAATCACCTGTGTTGCGAGGAGTAACAACTATGTCTAACATTCCTAAAACAGATGTTTTAATTGCACAAAGCATCTGTAGCCGTTCAGTGTGACAGCAAACAAACTGCTTTTCTTGTCTTTTTCTGTCCTGCTGAGTGATTTTCTGTCACACATTGTCACTGCTCCATCTGTGTGTGTGTGTGTGTGTGTGTGTGTGTGTGTGTGTGTGTGTGTGTGTGTGTGTGTGTGTGTGTGTGCGCACTCCCGCATGTGTGGATTTGGCCCTTTAGATATAGAAGTGGTCCAGAGCGTCTCTGTCACTCTCTCCTCAGCCAGAGGCTCCTCTGTTCCACCATCCTCCTGGAATGCTTTCTAGGACATCCAGCTGGAAGCTCCAGGCTCGGGGCCCAGCTATCAGTCAGACCCGTGGCCCAGATCCCCTTCACCATGCTGGGCCTGAGGAAGGAGAGACGCAGGAGTGGCTGCTGGGAGGAAAGCTGTCCCTGTCTGTTCCTTGATGGGACCTGACAGCAGCCTGTAGGCTGTCAATGCATTCCTGCGCAGCTGCTTTTAAATCACAAATGGGATATCTGTAGTGTTTTTTGTGAGTCTGTGTGTGCGTAGGCACAAGTGTGCAACTGTGCCTTTGACGTTGTGTGCGTGGGTGTGAACGTGTGCTTTGTGTGTATATAAATTATTCCATCTCTGCTCCACATATGATGAAGTGGTTTTGCGTGTATAAATGAGTGAAAGTGAGCGCACGAGTCAGGCTTACTTTCCATTTTAGCAACTCTCCAGAGACGCAGCTCTGTCTCTCAACACTGTGCAGTCACAGCGCTGAGGCTGATAAGGAAATGTTTAGCCAATTTCACCAGACTGTTGAAATGATTTGGAATCATCACGGGGCCACTGGGACATATCGAATGCATGGTGGAAAACTGGATTGTTTGTACAGTGGCTAAGCTAACTGAAATACTTAGTGGATCGAGGGAGTGAAAGATCTTTGTGTGTGCTTTTGGTATTTAAGGACATGATTTAATGAACTCTGTGTATGTACAAGATGGTGCTGATGAAGGGTGTACATGTTTTCTCACATGTCTGTTTGGAGATGTGCACATGGCTTCCAGCGTGCACACTTTTCTTCCACATGTGCTCACTACTATCTCAATAACTACCTTAATAATGAATACAATCTGTCCTTTCAGATCCACGAACGGCTGCAGCACTATGAAGAGAGCAAGCCCGCCCCTGTCCTGGAAGGAGCTGCACCTCTGGCACGTGACGTAAGTGTTTTAAAAAACATGTTTAAACTGATTGATCTTTTTATTGGCTGGGAGGCAAATGAATCGATTAAAGGAACCTTTGGTGAACAGTGTCTGTCTAGATGGGTTTCGGTTAATGGAGGTTTAATTTATTGACTAACATAAAATGACACTTCAACCCTCGTCTGGCCCCGGCCGTACTGTCTAGAACTCCCAGCAAGTGACTGCCACCGCTCAAGTGAAACCAGCATGGCCAGTGCCGTTGGTGTAAGCAAGTGAGACACACCACATCATCAATAAATAGTTCAAATGATGGCCACTGATCTAGAACTGTATGGTTGTTATGGTTGACTTGTATCCTTCTCCCTGTTGGAAAACCGTTTTCCTCTTCTGGCTGACTTCCAAACATCTTAATACAAACTCTGCTGTTACTTGGACAGATCACTTGGTGCCATCAGAGAGCATTGGTCTGCATTTTATTCCTGCAGGGTCAGATACGAAAAATACAAACACAGAGAAAGGGTTCATCAGTGTCAAGTGGCTTTCATGTCAGTTTTTACTGTGTGGGATGGCTTGCTGCTCCTTTCCACACTCCAACCAAGTCCAGGAGGATCTTCCATAAATCAGTGATGCTCTCAGAGCTCCCATTGTTTCCAGGTTTAACTGACTGTTTTCTTTAGTTCTTGAGATTCTCATTGGAAAATGATCTGGTACAATAGAAGATTTATCAAAGGGCAGGTGCCAGTAGGTGGGAGTTCTAGGCCACATGACAAAGTGTGGCCTTGCCTCCAGCTGCGATTTACCTTATTTAAGACAAGATGAAGCTGCAGATAAATCCTGTAACTGAAAGAGCTGCATTTTTATGTCTTAATACAATATGATACAAATAGAAGATACACCAACATAACTTCTTTAGATAAAGCATAACTAGTATGTTTATCTCTCTAAATGCAAGTCCTCTATTCATTACTGACACAAAGCACACCTTGCAGAGTTGAACTGTTAATTACAAACCTCTACCATTGGTTTTTCATTATACAGACTGCTGTTGTCTTCTTGTCGAAGCATTGAATGTTCACATGCACACCTGAAAAAGAGAAGCATGCTTAATGGTCTGAGCACAGTTGTGTGAACATTGTGTCCTTGACTATTTTCAGGTGTCTGATGAGCTGGAAGGCAAATCAGCCAGTCAGGATGTCAAAGAGCTTCTTAAACTGCTGGCAAACCCACATGTAAAGGTGAGTAAAGGATTTGCTTATTTTGTACTGAGCAGGTTTTAACAAACTAAAACCACATATTCTCTTTGTGGAGGATTGTATTATTCCATCCAAAAAACAGCAAAGCATTTGGCAATTCTGGCTCTGGATCTTTGCTGTTTGCACAGCAGCCACATTAAAGCGTTACAATCATCGTGCTGTACACAAAATAACACGCCTGTTAGATCCAGGCCTTGTCTCGTTTTCTTGGCTGCCGTTGCTGACCTCGTTAGCCAGATGCAGACAGCTACAAAATAAATTTACACATTTTTATTTTCTAATGCATAACTGGGGCCATCCATCAGGGCCTCCAGGTGTCTCAGCCAGACAGAGCTGCCTTCACGACGGCAGGATAGAAGCAGAGTTGGACAGGCTCCGTTTTTAATGCGCTGTCGTCATGCTTGTTTGGGCTCTGCCAGAAACAACAGCTCTCTAGTTCTCCCCCAACATAGCACACACACACACACTTACAGTACATGCAAATATTTAATACCTATCAGTGTCAAACAGCAGGAATTCAAGAGATGGTGGTTCCCAAACATGGATTTTTCAATGTCTGAGCTGGTAATTATGATTCATTTCCTAAATTCTCCAAACACATTAAGAACAACTACATTAATCTGTTCAAAGACAAGTGTGGAGCATGTGTTTTTTACAGGTGCTATAGGTACAGACACACATATTTCACCAGGCAGCACATATTTTAGACATAGAATCAGCAACTCCACACACACCTCCAGCAAACTGGTACTCATTTGGCTCATTACTATGTTTTTCCCCTGCACCTAACACATATAATTGCTGCTGTAGTTGTGCAGTGGTCTCTCAGCTCCAGTGCAGAATGGGGTCAGCCAAGCAATTCCCCACCAAACAATGGAAAATGTTCTTTCTGCTACTGCTTCCTCCATTGCTGGCTGGTGAATTTTGGCAGACGGTGTAGCAGCACAAGCCAAAGAAGACAAGCTGGAGAGGAGTGGCATTTTATCTCTGAAGTAGGATCAAAACCAACCATTTTTAAAGATTTCCTGGCTGTGAGATTTTCTTTACATGTGTTATTCATTTGGGATTCTCTTGATCGAAAGAAGTTATTATTTTTAGTTATAATAAGGTAATACAGACTCTTTGCCTTCCAAAGACTACTCACATAGCTCCAGTTGTGTCTCCTCCTCTCATCTGCTCCCAGTTAGCAACATCTTGAATGCTGTACTGCAGCATGCTCCCATGTCATAAAACACACTGCTTCTCTTCTCACCATATCCTTCTCTTTCTTCCCTGTTTCTCTTGCTCTCCACCCCTCTACTTTTGTCTGGCACTTTGGTTGGAAGATGTTTTTCCCAATTTTTTCCCCCCCTCTAAACCACAGAAAAAGCAGCACGCATCTAGCTGCATCTTGGTCCGGACACGCGGTTGTTAAATACTTTGAAAAATGAATGTCTCCTGAATGGCATCATTCCCGTCTGCGTCCCGTCTCTTTTTATGCCTGCTCGTGAAAGTGTGAAATATCTGAGCTGAGAACTTTGCTTTTGAGTCTTCACCACCTTACCCTGCAAAGTGTGGATTTTGTGGTGGTCACATTTGCAGCTCTTGCTGAGCAATGGTGCAGGGCGAGCCTGGGTTGCCTTTAATCAGAGAGATGTATGGAGGGAGAGCACGGGCCTAATGGCAATTAATGCTTGTTCATCTACAAGCTCTGGCCTTGAATGCTTTCAAATCCATCACCCAGCACATGAGGGAGACAACCCAATTCATAACCATCCTCCCTGCAGTCTGCAGTGTCTCTGTCCTGCTTAAAAAAGGAAGTGATAGATCGGACTCTTAATAGCATGCATGGCCATACTTTATTTAGCTAAGTGGACTGGGGTAAAGTTGAGGCCTTCGTGGCTTGACAGATAACCCTTGCCTGTTTTGTGTTTCCTCCCATAAATCCTATTTTCTCCTTTTTCTAGAGCCTCCTGTCCGTCCACGACGCAGTTGCCCAAAAGAAGTATGACCCCGAACTACCTCCGCTGCCTGAAGACATCGATGACGATGAAGATTCTGTGAAAATTATAAGATTGGTCAAGAACAAGGAGCCACTGGTAAGTAACTTAACAATCATCCTGTGTGCAGTATCTATCTGTCTCTACGCCTTAATTTTCATCTTTACAGTGATTTTAGGTCATTGCTGTTTGACTTGCACATCATAATGTCATAAAGGTAGAAATGCTGTTATAATGACTATTCTTCTTTTATAGGGAGCAACAATAAGACGTGATGAGAGCACAGGTGCCATCATTGTGGCCCGGATCATGAAGGGAGGGCCAGCTGACAGAAGTGGTTGGTTCCAGCCTTTTTCTCTCTTTTATAAGTTTGTGTGTGTGTGTGTGTGTGTGTGTGTGTGTGTGTGTGTGTGTGTGTGTGTACTCGATTCTACTCAGTTGTCTGTCATTTTCTGTCACTGTGTAGCACCTCAGTTTACATGGGGTCGTTATAGCAACTCATTTAAAAGTCCCATGATGTCATTTGTATGCAACACAAACCCAGCACACAACAGTGGACATGGAGGCGTTGGTATACCTGTCCGATCACACTGTTGGTTTTTCTGCACCCATTTCCCTGGATGCCGTGTTTCAAAAAGGGCAGTTTTGATGTTTGTGAAGGAATCACTTTCATGACTCATCAAGTGACATAATTGACTGGCATCACATGGTGGCATGGAGTCTGTTGACGTCACAGTTTCAGATCAACTCAGGTTGCTCAAAACGACTGCTCTAGTAGGTATCAGGTGCTGCCATCTAATAGAAAACCCTAAAAAACAGAGTCAAGTCAAGATGAGCAAAGTAGATACTAGTGGAAAAGAGCCATACAAGTCTGTAGTGTGGAATATATTGGGATTGCACAGAATTTAGTACCTCGCTTACATCAGGGCGTTAAAATAATAGAATGCCAGAATGACTGCAAATTAGTAACGTCTGTTTATGTGTGGCAGGTTTAATTCATGTAGGGGATGAACTGAAGGAGGTCAATGGAATCCCTGTGGACGACAAGAAACCAGAGGAAATCATTCGTATTCTGGTAAGTCTTGTCTTTCTATGGACGTTTGTGAGACTGAGGGTTTTTCAGCTCCACTCCCTTGGTACCAGCCTTTGTTTATAATGACAGAAACCTCCCCTTATCAACTCATCCACGACCCAGGCCTCCCATTGCCGTGTTGATGGCCGATAGATCACATGCAGAGTCTCTGTGGATGAGGCTGATGATGTGTAGTTCCTCCACGCAGCTTTGGTCACAGGCCTAAATGAGCTCTGTCATGTGCCTGGGATCTTAAACTCTTAAGGCCTTCTCAGACACAAAAGTCTTTGAGCTCTCAACACTCCTCCTTTACACCCCTGCACTGTACTCCCTAATTCTGTCAAGAATGGTTATACTATCCCACTAAACCTTCCTTTGTTGAAAAATCAATGCTTGACGCTATGTCACTGTAACTAGATTAGGTCTCTTATAAAATACTTAAAAGGATAGGAAAACTATCCTTTACAATTACTCCAACTTCTGTTCCTACATTATTTAGGCACAGTCACAAGGAGCCATTACCTTTAAAGTTGTCCCTGGTGCAAAGGACGAGGCATCTATCAAGGAGCCACAGGTAGGTCCTGTCTTTCTCTGTTATTTGGTTTATCCACTTGTTAAGTGATTTAGACCCTTTGATAGTGGAAAGTCATTGAAAGACCATCTTGGCCATCACTTGCAGCGTTTACCATCGATTGCTGTAATCTTTTGAGAATAATCACTCTGAGCTTTGGTGAATCACCTTTAACCATGATGACAATGTTTTAGAAAGAAAACATTTTATATACAACATAGTGAACTTGTTCCTGTTGTGTCTTCAATCCTCCTCTTTGTTTTCTTGCCTTTCCCTCATGATGATGTACAGATGTTTGTGAAGGCGCTCTTTGACTACGACCCAAAAGATGACAACACCATCCCATGTAAGGAAGCTGGTTTGGCCTTCAAGAAGGGTTGCATCCTACAGATCATGAGCCAAGATGATGCAACCTGGTGGCAGGCCAAACACGAGGGCGACACAAATCCTCGTGCTGGCTTAATACCATCCAAACAGTTCCAGGAGAGGTGAGAAACACAAGGCTGACCTTATTGGCTCCAGTGCTGTCACTGTCATAGATGTTCCATCTTCTTTCTCTCCCTCTTTAATCCATGTATTCTTGCTTCACTCTGCCAAAGTAGTCTGGGTTTCCACACATTTTCTGGTCCAAAGTGAGTAATGACAGAAAATGATAGCGCTGGTACCAATCCACATTGAACTGCAAGTGGATGGAAAACGCACACCAGACCTACACAGAGCTCAGGAGGCTTGGGCAGAAAGAGGAAGGCTGAAGAGTAAAGGGATCGAGTAGAACATTTTATATTCAGGTTTATTATTCTACTTTTTTCAATAGAAAGATGTTTTGTTCTTCACCTCCTCAATCTTTGGTTTCACCAGTCTCAGCTGACAGAATAGAAATGAAGGATATTGTAGAGCAGGGTTTCTGTAGCATAGCAGAGTGTTTATTATTCCCAGAGTGACCATGAAAACTGATGGTTTTCTTTTTTCTGTTTTTTCCTTTTTCTTCTCTTTCTTTATCCATCTTTTTGCTTTCAGGAGACTTGCATTTCAGCAACCTGTTACGACTCTTTCGTCCCTAAGGAGGTCTACTAGACGATCATGTAAGCATATATTATTTGCTGTGTTAGCGACTAATAAACCACAACAAGACAGTTGTCTTTAACAGGTGGATGGGAGGAAGAGAAGAATGGCAAAAGTGAGGAATGCTGGTCAGGACAGTTTGTGGAGTTCATTTCTGAAACAGACTCATCCTTCTGCTGATTCCACCACTGGAGTCTTTCGTGTAGTTGTGTAGTTCATGCTGGTCGTCTGGAGAAGCAATTTAGATTTGTCTTTGTTTTCATTTTCCTTCCTGTCTGCTCAATGTTTCTCCCTCTAAATTTCTATCCAGAGTCTGTTCCATGTGTCTTCTACAGCCTCTTTGTGTGTTGTTCACTAAGTCCACAGCATGTCTTTTATCCTGCCTTCCTTTGCTCCCCCCAACCGGTCACGGCAGATGGCCGCCCGTCCCTAAACCTGGCTCTGCCAGAGGTTTCTTCCTGTTAAAAGGGAGTTTTTCCTTCCCAATGTTACCAAAGTGCTTGCTCATAGGGGATCATATGATTGTTGTTGTAGTCACGCAGGAGCTTTAATATGAATTAGGAGAGGGTTTGCCCTCTGGCTGTTACTCTAGCTAAAGAGATGATTGATTTTCTAAAAGCTGTGCATAATGCAGATAGCAAAGATAAAAGACAAGTTCATGTGAACTGGTATTGTCACTTGGCTGCCTGGCTTCTAATTTGGATAATCACTTATACTCTTGGGGTGATGATGATGAGGGTAATAACAAGGATGGTTTTGATGGCAGCCTGTTATTCAGCAATTGTCCGTGATTGACTCCAACTGCAGAGTTCAACTCCTTATCATCACTGCCGGAAGAGAGAATGAAGACAAACAGTATTACAGTATTATTACATTATTACCCAGATTTTTCCAATGTAAACATTCCTGGCAGCTCACCCATGGACTTGATAAAGGTGGACTAATCATACATCTTTATGGCAGTTTTCATCACATTCTTTCTTTAAGGTTTAGTTTCAAATAAATTAGATAATTAAATCTGGCTAAACTCTTATTCACAGTACAGTAATTCTCATCCTTCTTAAAACCACATTTTGAGGTCGCTGTCCCAACTTAAGATGCCACATTAGAGCAGGAAGAGGGCAACATCAGTGGGAAAACTGACCTGGCCACTGACATTTGAAACAAGATGTCAGATAAAGGTACACACACTTCAGAACAGCTGCCGCTCTCGTGCCTGATGCGTCTAGCCTACAAACAACCTTGCACAGATAGGTCTTGACTGTTGTTTTGGTTAGACATTAATTCTGGACATGCTGAACAACACTCTGGAAAATGAATACAGTGATGTAAGGTGAGCTTCATACTGTTAAATACTTACAGAGGACTGTATCAGTATTACAATATCAATCATTTGGAGGCTTATGAATCTAAATGGCTTTTTTCCCCTCTGTAAATAGTGACTGCACCACAGACATGTACCGCAGATTGTGTATCACTAGGTAACAATGGATATACATTTCTATCAAAATAGGAGCAAATAGAAAGTAAATGTTTGTTATATTCTCATAAAACCTGAACTCAAGCTCCACTTACTGGTGTTTTTGTAACCTTTTAGTAGCAGCATGGCTTATGAAGGGTTTCTGTACGTGTTCTTTTTAAACCCAACCTTAAAAAAAGAAAGAAGTTAAGGATAAGATTTCCTCAATGAGTTCCATCAATTTATGTCATGACAGCTGAGTGTACTGCAACTTCCTCTCAGGAAGACCTGACGAGTGTTTCAGAACCAAGTGGAACTTGAGTTATTTTATTATTTGAAACGTAGATAGTTAAACTAGTGATACCATTAGAGTGATACTGGGAGTTACAGTGTAGTGGTCAAGCTCGGTATTTTTCACAAACATTACAAAACTGAAGAGAATTGTTTGCTTTTTCAGTGTTTTGTGAGAAATGACTGAATTGAACCTGCATAGGATGTTTGTGGATGTGGCACTCAGCTTTAAAATGTTTTATAATGTTCTCTCTGTTGTCTTTTGCTCTGCTTTTCTAAGATGATGTGACAGTAGAGTTTGGTAGGTTTCTTCTTATATTTCTTCCTCATCCCTGAGTTATGTTTACTTTCCTAATCTAATATTTTGTTTAGTATTACCTAATTTCCATTCCTTGCTTCTCTTGCACTCAAAGCTGAAGAGATTGAAGGTACTACTTTTCTGACATCCTCCACCGAGTAGGACTTTACTAACCCAACCATCTGTGATTGGTTCCCCTTCATGCTATTTGTGTGTAATGAGGTCCACTTCTTACCTCATCTCCCCAATTGACCCATTAAAGCTATTCACCATTTAAGAGTAACATTAGTTGTCACAGTCAATGGTTCCTCATAGATTTTATTGACTTTAACATTTTACAAAGCCTCATCTTTCCTCAACTCATTTTCACAAATGTGGACATCATTTTTGAGAATCATCCCGTCACAAGTAATATTTGTTGGACTCAGTCACAGCACAAACTGATTCACTGTCTCCAAGAATCGTCCAACACCACAGCCAAGAATGTAGTGGCCTGTAAGGCTAAATGGGGCTTAGTCAGTTAGCTGGGATCATCAACATTTTTCAACATTGTTAGTTCTGTAAAGAAAAAGAGAGTATTTTGTTTATTTTGGTCAACTTTAGCTGCTCACTAGATGGAGGTTATATGTAACCTGTCCTTGAATTTACCTCTACATGCGTGGCTGTCATTCTGGGCAAAGGCCAATATTTAAAAATAACGAACACACTATAAAATGTAACTCAAGCAAAATTTACCCCAAACCTCTCTGATCACTCTCTTCTTAACAGCACCTGTGTGTTTTCCCCTTTATCATATTTAGAGGGCCGCAGCTCATTTCTGACTATTCTATTTAACTTGATGTTGTGGTTCTCTTTTGGCTCCTTTCTTTTCATCACCAGAGGATGCTGATTATAGTGGTGGATTTCACCTAGGTGAGAGATTGTCTTCTTTTGTCTTCTTGCCTTTTCCTGCCAGATGTGGTCATTTCACTGTTACAATAAATATGAGGACAGTGGCCAAGTACAAGTTTTGTTTTTTCCACATGAATCCTTCATATATCATCTTCTAAGAACTATTAAGTCATACATGTTTCACGGGACGGAACAGTTGTTCATACCTTTGACCTGTTCTTCTAACTCACAGAGCACTTGTGGGGCAAATAATTCACTTCTTAAACCTTCTTACATAATTCACTTTTTGGACTTTAATAGTTTTGTACTTTCTCACTGTGCTGTGCTATTTGTGCTCCCATGCTGACAGCATGAGTGCACTGGCAGATCATGTCATGGATTTGCAGTATGTAGTTATCCTGTTCTGCCTCTGCTGTGGGTCTGAGGACTTCTTTGAGAGGTTCTGGTTGGAGTTGGCTTAAAGAAAGGTTTGTGTGCTTCGCTGCATTGTGGAGGTCCGGATGAAGGCCGGTCTTGCTGATGTGGTTCCAGTCAGACTTAATGACAATTACCATGACCCACTTTGGTTCTGCAACCACTTTAATTCCAGAGAGCTGCTTCCAAATCCCTGTCTTGTACAGAAAATGTTTCCCATCGTGTTTTTATTACCACTGTCATTTGCACATTTAGACTCCAGATTTCACAGGATATCCAGAGCACACGCAAGTTTATAAATACTACATTTGAGTCATGTCTGCCAAGCTCAATCAGGGTCACTCCCAAAGCCGAACTCTGCCAAACATTATTCCATTTTTTTGCCCAAAAAAGTCCAGCACCTTGAGTCCAGCAGCCAAGAACGAGGTTTAAATGAAATGAGAGAACCTCGGGAGAAGAAGTAAAAAATAGTGAGTTATAATAACATCTTCTCTATGAGAGTACTTGCTGCATGGCTTTTCAGCCTGTTGGATGTGGTTGTATGATTTAAAGTTGGCCTGTCCCTAAAAGTTTGAAATCTTAGAACTTACAGATGCTTTTGCAATGCTGCTGAGGTTGCATGGGGAAATAAAGGAGTGGGAGGGGGCGGCAGTTGTTGTCCTTAGTTTTTGGTTTGTTTTCTCCCCATGCCTCTCAATGATGCAACGTCTGTAACTTCCATTGCCAGAGTCATTCTTGAGCACAACTTTGGGATGAACAGATTCCTGAATTTACAGCCTGCAAACTTGAGAATGATATCTCCTTAGTAAGCACTGTTTAGAGGCTACTTCGTTACTGTACTTAAGTAGAACCTTCAGGTATCTGTACTTTACCTGAGTATTTACTCTTATTCTCTACATTTTTGCACAAATATCATTTTTAAAACAGGCTCGTTACTCTAGACTCAACAGTATCAGCTGAAATTGAGTCGGAAAAAATGCGTTTGTCTGTATGTTTTAGTCAGCTTGTAGCTAGTGTTACAAAAGAGGAATGAGTATAAAGGGAGTAACCTTGCTTCACAACATAATGTTTCTACAACATTTCTATCAGCTCAACAAACATCAGCAGACTCAAGCTGTTTGTGTGCTGTTCGTCTCAGTGTGTTGCTAGTTAAAGGTCCAGCTGCTGTATTTCACAAGGAGAGAAAAGAAAGAGAGCTAACTTCACTCAGAGACGGAGAAAGATAAGAAAGTCAGGTCAGGAGAGAAAGAGTAGAGATTATTTTTAAAGCTGATCTCTGCTCTGGGACATTTAATGACCTGCAGATTTAAAGGTTACATGTCAAAATTTTTAATCACATATCACATATGTGTTTTGACAAATGGTCTATTTTCATTGTGTGAGTATACTAACTTTGTCTTTCTATAATATCATATTTGCAGAATAAACAGGTTAGCTTGCATTAATGTGGTGAAATCACAGTAAAGCTCTGTGTTGGGCTGATACAGAGCAGCTGTGGGGGTCAGTGTTAGGTTACATCAAGTGTAGAGATTAATTTACATTTAAGCTGATGACGCTTAGATTCATTCACTGATTTCAATCTTTACACCAACTTTCTGTTTTCATTTAACTGTTTGTTTGTGGAAGTAAAGTCGCTTCCTGTATGTATCTGTGTGTAAGTGTGCGTCGTCCCAGCTTGTGTTAAATATGCTCATCTTTTTCCTTCACGTTTTTGCACTTCTACTTTACTGAAGGGGCTTTGAATCAAAGTAGAGATCGGAACTTTGTGCCAGTTCCTTTCTTTTTACTAACTTGTTCGTGTTTGGATCATCTTATGAGGCTTTCCAGAACAAATGAGCAAGCTTCGTTTACCCATACCTGACTTGTTCTAAAATTTGGAGCACATTCATTGTCATCCTCTCTGTGTAATACAGTTTCCACTGGTATGGAAGACAGGATGGTTGTTGTTGTTGTTGTTGTTGTTGTTGTGTAATTAGTTACCTGTGTTATTTTAGTGAGTGTGTCAGCGGGTGCAAGAGGAGAGAGGGACTGTATTTTGGATGATGATAGACCTATGATGAGTTTTCACCTGTTTGATGTCACCTGGGGAAAGTAATGTTTGTGTGGAGGTGTTTGCCAAGATCCTGAAACAACTATAAATTGAAGTCCACAGTATTTGTATGTGTACATACGGTTGTGCTGGATTTTACACTACTGACAAAGAATTTTCTTTTTTTGTATTGATTGATCTGTTTCTTCTGTCTCCTCTTTTGGCTCATGCTGACCTCCAGCTGGGTTCAGGAGAAGCTTTCGCCTCAGCAGGAGAGACAGAAAGACCACCAAGTCCATGTACGAGGCGAAGAAGAGTGAAATGTACGACATGGCTGACGTGCCCACATACGAGGAAGTCGTCCCGTACCGCAGGCAAAGGGGAGACAAACACAGGCTGGTGGTGCTAGTAGGTGAGTAAAGAGAAATTTAAGTTCTCAAACTCTGATGTCGCTGCTTACCTCACACACTGTTGCTGTTAGGATACCGAATTTAATGAAAATCCTCACCTTCAATCTCATTGTCACATAGAGACGACAGAAACAATAAAGGTGGCCCAGCTCTGCAAGAGAAGCTGAATATTATGTTTCTCTATCATCTGTTCCTAAGAAGTGAATATGAATAACCAGAAAGTAACTTTAGATCTTTTGGATACAAATTTTCATTAGTTCATCATTTGATCCTATTAGACATTTGAATTTATATTCTCATCATTAGTGTTTGAGGTCTTGAGTTAACCTCGGCAACTCTAACCACCAAGTACAGACGAAAGAAAGTTTGAATGTCTCATATCATGTTATGGATGTGATAATAACGTGATGAGGAGTTTGGCAGAGTTTATAATTAGATGTTTGTGTGTAGGACCCACAGGTGTCGGCTTGAGTGAACTGAAGAAGAAACTGTTGATCTCTGACCCCCAGCACTTCAGTGTGACCATTCCACGTAAGTGTCCTGTAAAGAGACATTGGGTGTCAGTGTGACTACCTGTGTAAATAAAGGTTAAATTTAAAAAAAGGAAAAAAAGATAACTTCACTCTTCTGATTTAAGCCCACCAAACTTTGGCTGAACAGTACAGTTCATTTGTCTTTCGCTCTGCATATTTCTTTGTTCTTATCTCTGCGTCTTATATGTGAATGTGTGCTTTATACTAGTTAATAGAATAGAAGTTAATTCGCTGACCATTAAATGTGGTGTTCCCAACAATCTCTTTTCTCTTCGTTTCATCCCAAAGAAACCTTTAAACATTTGTGTGCCGAAACTAAAGTTTCTGTCTTTCTTCCGTTCTGTGCTTTATCTTGAATTGAGGATGCAACATAAATGAAATAAATAAAATGTAATAAAAACGTGGCTGTATTATTCTCACTGTTCTCACTATTTGAAATATTTCTTTACATAGAGAGATTTTTTTAATTATTGAAAAAAAAAACTTTTATAACCAAGTTTTATGACTTTATTGTCTTCCCCCAGCCAAAGTCTGACACTTGAAATGTCCCCGGTATTAAAATCCCATTGGCGTGGCCTTTTTCTCTCCACACAGCCTGTTAATTGTTCTCAAATGTGACCTGTGCTGCTGTTGTTTAATAGAGCCCAGACAGTCTGATTCAGACCCGTATAGGAAACGTATGGCACAGGTCCTGGCTCTCATTGAGAGGAAGGAGAATCGGAAAGTGTCTCGTCTCGCTCTTTTTGAATGTTTGATCGCTGCCAGTGGACACATGGATATGTTTAACACTTGCTGTTGTTTCGGGTTAAGCCCAAAAGTGTTGCTTCTTTTTGTCAATTTGAAAACCGGAGCTTTGGAGACCACCGGCTCTCTCTCTGTCTCTCTGCTTGTTGCACACAAGGAGCATTGCACTATTCATTGCAATGACTCACAGGCATCACTCCCTCTCTTTCCATCTTCATCTTCTTTCACTCAGACACCAGTCGACCCAAGAAGAACCAGGAGACCGATGGTGTGGATTACCACTTCATCTCCAAGCAGCTCTTTGAGACGGACATCCAAAACAACAAGTAAGCAAAACTGATGAATTCAATCACAACACACATTCAGACTTTATGCAGCAGAGATGAACAATTGATATTCATACTCTGGCCAAAACAAAAGTACTTTTTCCCTGGGAAAAAAAAGAGAACAACTTTTTTGGATATCCTGCTGTGTGTAGATTATATGTTTGTACGTCTCTATTTCAAACGGCCTTTCTTTAATGTTTACTACAATGGAGAGAACAATTCTGAATTGTTTTGGTTTATCACCATTTCTCAAAACTCTAATCTCAGAAATCACAGTGATTGTAGAAAATTAATTATAAAAATGAAAGTTGAAAGTTGCTGTTTAAAAAAAAAAATCCTGCTCTTATGAGGATATATAAAAAATCTTAAAAGCACAAATTAACATATCTAATACAGTGGAAAAAGGTTTGTTTGTTTTATGTAAACTAGTTTAAAAATGTCCTCCTGATGCTCATTTCAAGATCTATATTTTCTTTCTTGGACAATATATGCAGTTAAAAATAATCCTTGTCTCGTCACAGTCTAAAAGAACCTCTTTTAGCTCAGGTACAAGGCCTGAGCTTTAACTCAGATTACAGTAATTACTCTTCTAAAAACTGACATAATTATTTGAAACTTTGTCCATGTGTCCATCCAAAGATGTGCGTTCGTGCTTTTTCTCATCACTCTTCTTTTCATGTCTCAGGTTCATTGAGCATGGCGAGTACAAAGGGAATTTCTACGGCACAAGTCTGGACTCGATACGTTCAATCCTCTCAAAGAAGAAAGTGTGCCTGCTGGATGTCCAGCCTCATGTGAGTGACACCTTCTTTCTCACCATCCCTGTACTGTATTCTTAGCCTGTTTTGGAAACTACCTGTCTCAGAAGCAGATCGCCTGTTACTTATTTGAAGATTTCCTCTTTGGCTTATGTCACCATAAACCTCCACAGTAATGCCATTTCTCAGTTATTGACCAACTGAGTGAATGATGGAAGCTGTTTCCCAGTGGTTCCGCTGCTGCCTCTCCATTAAGTTTTTTATCCATCTTGTTGTGAGTTGTGGGTCTTGACCCACTGCTATTAGCATAGCAAGAAGGTCAGATGATCATGCCAGAACCAGACACCAGACACCACCTCTAATCAAATCTCATCTCTCTCATACCTCTGAAGGGCCTTTCACATTGGGCGCACCTACCACGAGCTGGAGCGAGTGGCCTAAATTTGTCTTGCAGTGGTTGTTGCGCTCTTGTACGTCGAAAACTCGATGGACCAGCTATTTCTCATCCATAAAAAGAAAGCTTTGGCACTGTCCCACAAGTGAACACTTGTGTTGTTTCCTCCCAAAGTCTCAGTATGCATGTCAACTTGTGTCATGAAGTTTGTTGAACTCGGAAACACACACAATCAACTTTTCCTCCTTGTTTTCATTCATTGTGTGGTTGAACTTAGTAGGGCTGTTTGCTTCGTTCTGTTGGTCGTGCGACGGTACGTCGCAGCAGTCAAAGTTTAACCAAGTTTAACCCAGTTAAACGTTGACCCTTGCATGCAAGAGTACTCTTACCGGCGCACTTGCTCTTTAAAACTGTTATTGAGTGGCGCAAGCAATAGAAACAAATGGGTTTCAGAGCTCTGCACTGCCATATCCTATGTGAAAGGCCCTTGAGGTACCAGATTGGCATGTTATTTCAGAAAACTGTCACCACAAAGAAGAGACAGACCAAAGATCAGCATAAATAAAAACATATATATCTCCATATCTTCCAAAGAATTTAAAGCTGTGATGAGTTAGTGTGAGTAGTCTTTATCCCTCAGATTGGTGTTTGTGAGTCATTTTTAAATGACAAAAACTATAAACATGATTTCAAAGTTCTAGATTCACTCAGAATGATGGGAAGTCATCTGCTCTGTGGTCATTATTATTGTTCTGTCCAACTAATAAGTCATTTATGCAAAGACTTCTTCATTCTAGAGAGGTCAATAAGTTAAAAGGTAATTTAAGATTTAATGCTTCAGCAAAACAGAATATATTCGGTTTACAATGAGAGAATGGAAGAAAAGTCTCAACTTTTCATGTCTGAGGAACTTAAGGCAGAAAATGTCTTTGCTTAAAAATAGAAGGAAGATTTTAATTTTTAATATCTTCTCGATTGGAAATCAGCAGACTGAATCTGTTAAACTGGACTTTGTGACAACCCCATAATCCAGTTCATATCACTATTACAAGTGGACCATGAATTGGCAACCTTTTTTTTTTCAGGATTATATTTTTAAACGTTTTGTCTATTAATTTTTTCACAGTCTGTTTATACCATACGTGACACACTTTGTGATTACGTCTTAATGTGCTGCCAAATGCCTAACTCCTTTTTCTCTGCATCCACTTTTATTCTTTTCAGCTAATAAAGCATCTTCGAACAGCAGAGTTTAACCTTTCGTTGTGTTCGTGAAGCCCCCGACCGTCGACAGACTGAGAGAGACCAGAAAGAAAACCCAAATTATATCAGGCAAAGACGACAAGGACTCCACCAAACCCTTCACGGTAAAAACTTATTTCTAGTGTGTGGGTTGTACATGGCTGATAGTTTATATCGTATGTTAATCAGATATTACCTCCTGCTTAAGTTGAGATAGAAAGCAAGAGGAAATTGTTACTGTGTAACTGTGACTTGGTCGGGTTTAAATGTATCTTTCTCTCTGTCCACACGACCTGTTTTATGTGATTTGTTCTGATGTATTTTTTGCTTGAGGTACATCGTGGTGCTTGGTTGATTCAAACAGATGTTTTCAAAGTGCAGCCTTGGGGCAAATGGCCGTTCTGAAGACCAACAAGGAACGAATACAATCCTGTACATTTCATTCAAGCACGGTTCACGTGATACTGTGAATAAAAATATTTCTCTTCAGTTTCAACAGCTCTATTTGAGCTAATATAGCAGTTAAACCTTCCTAAAGTTGTCAAATCAAGCATAGCATTACTTCAGGCAGGACATGCAGTCAAATTAAGCTGCAATTCCAGCAGATCTTAATTCCACATCAGTTGATGACTCCACTGATACATTTCTAGTCATAGCTCTATCAACTCTATACTGACACCAGAATGGACCATAGAGAAATTACAAACTGGTACAAATTAATTTCCCAAACACAACCCATAAAAATTAAAAGCCTGGTAGTCAGACCCGATCTGAAATGACCTGAAAATAAGCAGTCTCTGGCAATTATATTACGATGAACTACAAGTCACACACATGCAATCTGCAGTGATACAGTCACAGGACTTTAGTTGACCTCTGTAGAACAACTGGCAATATTTCAGGGCTTCTGGTATAGGCAGCAGACATCTGAGCAAAGGGGTCATTGTTTAGGAATGTAGAAAACTTTTGAAAGCTAATAAAAGCTAATTTGTCATCAGTCGATAGCCAGTGGTTTCATTTCCACATGTGTTGATTTACCTTTAACTCACATGTCAAATCAAAAGGTCAAACATTACTCTGTTTAAAAAAGTTACAACACATATGCCCAGAGCTGATAGTTAGTCAAGTCATATTCACACAAAATATAATAGGATCCGACTTATTGAGGCATAATTTAGTGCATTTATGGGTAATAAGTGTTGAGGAAAATGCTAGAGTACAATACACTTTCACCTAGAACATGCAGTGAATTTATGGTTGAAGGTCAGCTTGTTAAACCTTGATACAGACACAGCATCAGCTTATATTATTCACACAGGTAACATAATTCTGTCTCAGTCCGCTCCTTATTTCCCAGCTGGGTCTTGAGAACAATAAGCTTTAGTTGTCAGAAGCAATCTGGTTGTGAACAGTCTGTTGCAGTTTTAACGTCCCTTTATTAGCTTCTGTTATTCTCTCATGTAATACAATATACTTCTATAAAGCTGTGTGACAGCGGGCTGTATTTCAACCAGCTAACAAACAAGTCTCTGTGTAAATGTTCATGTACACTGACAGAACCAAACCCATCTTATATTTACTATTAAATGAAGGGAAGCTGTTGTTGGGCAGTCGTCCCAGACATTTTCAATCCAACGCTAGCTGTATTTTTCTTTGCAAGAGACAGGTCTGCTTTAATGATAAAGGCCGAGGAACAGTCGTCTCATTGTTTCAGTCGAGCTGGCTGGAAGCGTGATGTGAATACAAGCAAAACAATCTGATGTAATGCAAAATCCCAGCTGTAATGTGGTTAGCATAGAACTGGCACCAATCTGAAAGAACCAAGGCATTTCAAAGTGATTTGAGGAAATCTCTTTGGTTTCTGACACTTTTTTAAAACGCAAAGACAGGTGGGTTTATTGGCACAACAAAGCAGGTGTCCAGCAGAGAACGTGGTTGCTTGTAAAGAGGATACTGAGGCTGACACGTGCTGCTTCATGCCACTGAAATGCGTAAAGATTTATAGTCCTGTAAGGTAAAAGCAACAAATGTATAAAGGCTACAAATAAAAGAATTACAATAAAACAGAGGGAACGTTCACCTAACTGTGACTCAGTATTTAGTTGCTGTGCAATGAAATTTATCTATGCTGTTACAAAGTACTTAAACAGGCACAAGATGCTACATAACTTCTTGTGGAAATTAGGCCACCTAGTGGGAATAAACGAGTCCGGGTGTGCTTTTTCTCAAGTTTGGTCCCCAGAAGAGGCATCATCCTAAACCAATCTTTTCTTTTTAAGTTCTCTGATTTTCTATTCATCTTCCAAACCCAGCTTGCTGTTCCTTAAACGGCTTCCTGCTCAGATTAATGTTCTTGTTGGGCAGACAAAACACAGCTAATCCATTATGAAGCAGAAACCACCAGAAACATTCTGAAGGAACTGCTGGCAAAAGTCCTGTAAGAGACAGCTTCATCATGACAACGTGTAAAAGCAAAGCTGTCAATTCATCCGTGGATCTATGTCCTCCCTCATCTATGGTCATGAACTTTGGGTAGTGATTGAAAGAACGAGATCACAGATACAAGCAGCGAAAATGAGCTAAAGTCCAATTTAAAGTTAAGTGTTCCCAGTAAAAACACAGCACCCTAACCTACCAAGAGATACCTGGCTCATTTAGAAAGGCAGTATTTACTTGAATGATAAATGATAAAATAAGTTCTCCAAAGTTGATTCTGTTCATCTGGACGTAGCGTTCTCAGTGGGAGAAACGTTTCATCAGTCACTTGGATGACTGACGAAAGAGATTTTATTCGTTTTGTGTTTTTAACTTCCATCTATTTTGTCTCTTCCTCTTTTCCCAGGAGGAAGACTTTCAGGAGATGGTGAACACGGCCAGACAATGGAGACTCAGTACAGCCATCTCTTTGAGATGGTTATAGTCAACGACAACCTCGATGTTGCCTTCAGCGAGCTGCAGTTGGCACTAAAGAAAGTGGAGACAGAGACCACTGGATTCCAGTCAGCTGGACTCACTCCTGAGAGACATACTGACTGTAAAGGAGAAAGGGAAGCGCTTTGACAAAAATATGCAGGTTTTCTATCTTTTTAAAAAATATTTGCCAGGGACGGTGTTGGGAAGTAAATCAGGAATAAAACAGTGCCTGGCTGCTGTGTCGCCATACCTGAACTGCATCGAGCTAAAAATAAGCTTCTGCCTGGGATCAGGTTGGATTTAGACCTCAGCTGTGGTCTGGAAGCTCCAGGTCTGACCAGATGTGATCAGGTTGTGGCTGCAGGCTTCTTTCCAGAATCTAAGACTTTGACATTGATCAGGGTCTCAGTCTGGGTCACACATCCATGGCCACAACTTGGAGCGCCTTGGTCCAAACCGGAACGTGGAGCGAGCTTGGAGCATCGTAGCACCAGCAGTCCTGCCAGCACATCAGTAAACCGGCCAAACAGGACTCCTTTAGTGGTTTTATAACATTAGACCATTAGAAACCAAAGGGATTGATGTATTTCTTCTTCGTGGACAGCTTACATGTGTTTGTCTGTAAAAGAGCACAGCACCAGGGCAAAGAGGAGAAAGGAAAACATACTTGCCTTCTGTCTTACTAGACTTTTGTACATCTAAAATCTTCCATGACTGTTATTCCAAGCAAAACACTGTCAGGTACACTTTTAGAAAGGGCAATAAGTGTAATTTTATTTAAAAGAAATTAATATATTTCTAATATCTGCTTGTAGTCCTTTTTATGCATTTTATATACATTTATGACTTTAATATGATCTTAGCTGTAGCCATCTCTGTGACAGCCTCTTTTTACTAGAAGCATTTTTTTCTCTCAATCTAGCATTTTTTTGTTCGTCACCCTAGTTTAGTTTTTTGGCTCTGTCAGCTCTACTTGGCTTTATTTGGCTCTATTATCAGCACTGCTACAATTCTCCTAGCTCCAGATTTTGCTCTCTTGTTGATTCTGGGACAAGCTGACCTCCTTTAAATTAAGGGGAGACTATAATTCCAGCTACATTTTTATTCACCAGAATTCACACAAAAACAATCCATATTTTATTTATTTATGCTTTGGGCTGTTGTTTTGTTTTGTTTTGTTTTTAACTTCCTGCTCCTTAAAAGTATACTTTCTTTGATTGGTTGCCCCTCACCTAGCCTGTGCAAACAGAAACTAGTGCTCGTATGCACTGCCTCCCAGAGATGACCTTTTGCATATTTTGCATATTTAGCAGTGTTTAATATCTGCTTAGTATATGACAAAATACAAGCCAATGGATAAGTTGTCCTTTATACATGGAGGTAGAGCGCAAGGATAGTTGGAGACTGGAAACAATTAGGAGGAGCTAGCCTATGTCTGCTAGTCTTTCTGAACTTGTGATTTTAGTACATTGTTCATCCCTATTAATAACAGTTAGTTCATATTGAATTCATCTCTTAATTTCTGTGCTTGCTCGGCTGATTGCCTCCAATCTCTAGCTGCATTTAAAACTCTAAGAGTGCTATCAGTCTTCCAAAGTCTCAGTAAAAAAAGCATTAAGCATATTATCCAAACTGTCTAAATGATTCCTTAAACTCTATATTTATTCTTTTTTTTCTTTACTCTAAGAATACTCTCTTACTCTGCTGAATGTCCAGCTCAGGTTGTATGTTTCCAAATTGTGCATCATTTATTTCTCCCTTTCCACCAACTGTGACATATACAAACTTGATTTGTGTCCTTTTTTTTAAGTGTAAGCATGATTGGTTATACTGCTCTGATGTAATATGATTTAAATGTCTTTAACACTCTTGTCTGCCATACTTTGTCCCAACATTTTTTTGTCTTTTTGTTTATTCAGTTTTTCTACCTCCCCACCCCCCTGCTGCCCATCTTACAGATCAAAGTCACATTTGTACAGTCTCCAGAAAATACCTTTTTAATGTCTCCCTGTAATGATATACTCTTTAAGTGGCACATTGTATGAATTTACATTATTCTTGATAACTGCTGCATTTTTTATTAAAGAAAATACGACTAAACTTGTAATTGCAATGTCCCCAAATTAATTCATATATGTTGTTAGCCAAGCAAAGAGTGAACACAACTTTATGTTTACCAGCACAATCCCTACTTCTCTTTAATAAAATGTTGCATATTTTGTGAATAAAGGTAATGAACAGGTGGAGGTGGTGAAAGGGGGGGGGGCTCCTAAGAAGAGGATTTAGCCGCCCTCCGCTTGATGTTCAAAAGAAATCCTGTACTGATCAAAATCAGGTTGACTTAACCCAAACACCTTCCATGGTGCTCACTTTGAGAGTAGAGCAGAGCAAAGGAGAGTTAATGGTGTTGGGCAGAGAAGTGCTAGGTGGGGGAAGAGGAAGAGAAGCCACTTACTCAGTTTGTCCACACATTGCTGCTGATGTGTTTCACTCATTCCTGCTTCATAATTAGGATACTAGAGTAAAGGGGGACACAAAATGGCTGCTTTCACATACAGTAATGTGGCACTAACCCTCCACACTCCCAAGGCTGTACGCACAAGTGAATGAATGGGCAAATACGTTTTTCCCCCCAAAAGCAATCAAGGTCAGTGGCTCATTTTTAATATGCGGAGATGTACTGGGTACTGGCAACAGCACCTCCAGGCTGTCTAAAGCTTGCACAGTGATGGGTTTAGGAGGTGCTAAGTAAGTGTATTTGACCAAATTTTCTCTTAAATTGTTAATACCACAAGTTGCTTTGCATCTTTTAAGGAAGACACTCTAGCCCTCCTGTTGTCCTCATGTCCTGTACACGCCTAGGGTCAAAATGACCCAAACTCACTAAAAATCTAAAATCTGAAGAACCTTTACCCACTTGTCCCACACCTCTGTTATGGGAGCTATGTCTTGATGCATGTTCAGTCATCCAAGTAAGTAAATCCCCATAAGTTCTGTTCATCTGGACGTAGCGTCTTCAGTGGGAGGAACATTTTGTCACTCCTCTAAGTGACGACTTTGAGTCTCAGCTGACTGCAGGATTTTCACAACCTTATAAACAGTACCTTTGAACAATGACTGAAACTAGCACCACTGAAAGAACAATGGGCTGTGAGGTCAGTTCCTTGATTATTAATGATTATGGAACCGACCTCAAAGCCCATTGTTCATTCAGTGGGCTAGTTTAAGGCAGCTAGTTTGTCATCACACATATTGCAGGTCTTGACTCGAGGTTATCAAACTGTATCATCCTTGAGAAAGTGTGACAAATTTTCAGTGGCATTTTGGTACTCACTGTATCTAAGAGACACACGTGGCATAGCCATAGTTATGGCTATTGCCAAGTTATGGCAATAGCCATAACTTCATGAAAAAAATCACAATTATAAATTATTTCCCAACACACATAAGATCACCCAGCAGCTGTGTTTTCATACACCTCTCACATGCAAACTATCACACAGAGTGATTTTTATAATTATCTCATTTGTTACACACTAACCTTCCACAGGCTAAATCCTGAACATTTCATAGCTTTTTATTTTACTGGTTTATGTGACTTACTAAACACAAATATTATCCGTGAAAAGTTTACTACACTTCTGTGATCATTAAATTAACAAAGTAGTACAGTACAGGAGAACTGGTGCCAGAGGAACAACCTCCTTCTAAACGTCAGTAAGACAAAGGAGCTGATAGTGGACTTCAGCACTAAGCAGGAGAGGAACTACCAGACCCCTGTCATCAACGAGTGCCCAGTGGAGAGAGTGGACAGCTTCAAATACCTCGGGGTTCACATCACGCAGGACCTGTCATGGTCCTGTCACATCAACACCATGGTGAAAAAGGCCCGTCAGCGTCTCTACCACCTCAGATGCTTGAGAGACTTCCAACTGCCCTCCAAGGTGCTCAGGAACTTTTACTCGTGCACCATAGAGAGCATCCTGACGGGAAACATCTCAACCTGGTTCAGGAACATCACCATGCAGGACAGACGACGAGCTCTACAGAGGGTTGTGCGATCAGCTGAGCGCACCATCCGCTCCGAGCTCCCTGACCTGCACTCAATCTACAGCAGACGGTGCTGGACCAAGGCCAGGAAGATCGTGAAGGACCTCAGCCATCCCAACAACAGACTGTTCTCTCTGTTGAGGTCAGGAAAGCGATTCCACTCCCTGAAGACCAACACAGAGAGACTGAGGAGGAGCTTCTTCCCGCAGGCGATACGGTCTCTCAATCACATCACCACATAATACTGACCCACACATATGGTTCTTACACACACACTGGACATTCCGGACATTTGTTTACACTAGTGGGCACTTCACAACTACACTGCGTGGTCATCTAATCAAATCACTCACTTAGTCACACGTCACTTAAATAAATCACTTTTAAGCATTTTTGCACTGCACAAGACACTTAAATATGTGGATTGCACAACCCTGGACATTACATTTCTTTCATTACCATTTATTACTTGTACAGCTGCTCTTATTGTTCTATATTTCTTCATATATTCTTATGTATTTTCTATATTGTGTATTTTGTTGTACAGTTATTTTATTTTTAGCTTTCTTTTTTTTTAAATTTTCATATTTATTTCCTATCCTATTCATAGTCTTTTATTTTAGGTCACGAGCAGTTGTCTAAGCATTTCACTGCATATCGTGCTGTGTATGACTGTGTATGTGACAAATAAAATTTGAATTTGAATACAGTAAGTGATTGGGTCGCAGGACATGACTTGTAGGCTCCTAACATGTTCACCAGCAGCTGAAAAGATTGCCAACTTCAGTAAGTGACAACAACAACACTTGACACCACCTTTCTTCTTCTTCTTCTTCTTCTTCTTCTTCTTCTTCTTCTTCTCTATATAAAAAGTCGTTTTCTATCGTCATGTGTCAACTGAAACAATTGGTTTTGTGAATTTTGACTTAACTCGCTTGCCGTTTCGTTTACCAGTGT